TGATGTCCAACAATTTAAGGTCCCCCTAGATCTTAGGTGACAGTTTCCTGGTTTGACCAAAAACGGACGGATTGGGTGACAGATTAATGTGTATAGGGTACCTTCAGACAGCATATAATGAGCTGCATTTATTCATATACATTATCTACCCAATTGGTGACTTGGAGAGGCAACAAAAACAACCTTATATAAGTTTATCCTATGCAGGCACACAGGGGCCAAGGTTCTGTGGCCCATTACAGGATGGCACTTCCTCTGCAGTTTCTTCTTGAGGTAAGTAGCCAATGAACACCATTGAAACTAATGTTTTTCTTCTGCTGGCCACCAATGTAAGGGGGGACTTTTTTCTACCGACTACCAATAAAGAGAGTATTTGCACTAAGCAGCAATGTAACAGGGGATTCTATACCAATCACAACTGTAATTGGGGTATTTACACTAACCACCTTTGTATCAGGGACATTGGTGGACATTGCAAAATCCCTTTGCTATATTGGTGGTTATAAATGCCTATGTATATATAGGTGGTAAATGTACAATTCCTTTTACATTAGTGGTCAGTGTAAATGCTCCCCATTATAAGAGATTTTGTACTGACACTGTTATGGGAGATACAACCCAGACCACCAATGTAACAGGGACATTTACACTGACAACCGATGTAACTGAGGAATTTACACTAACCTGCAATATAATGGGTTAATTTACCCCTACTACTAATTAGACATGTGCATGGCAAAAAAAAATTGTTTCGGACGAAACAAATGAAAACTAAAAACATTTTCACTCCTTGCGTCAAAGGAAACAAATTATAATGCTGTTTCAGATTCGGAGGCAATGAGTGTATAAGCACTTGTTATATTGGTATTGGCGGTGACGTCATATACTGAATGAGCAGCCGCCACATCGGCCACCGGACAAGCGGTGGCCATATTGGCTGCCAGCGAGTTCTGCACATGCGCACCGCCATTTTGGAGTGTATCTTGGTATACACCAAGATGGCGGCGCCCGCATGTTCAGGTGCCGCCATCTTGGTGTATACCAAGATACACTCCAAAATGGCGGTGCGCATGTGCAGAACTCGCTGGCAGCCAATATGGCCACCGCTTGTCCGGTGGCCGATGTGGCGGCTGCTCATTCAGTATATGACGTCACCGCCAATACCAATATAACAAGTGCTTATACACTGACTTACAATGTAGCGGGGCATTTACACTGTCCACCAATGTAACAGGTGCTTTTACACTGTCCACCAATGTAACAGGGTACTATACACTGACCACTGACATAAACAAGGGATTCAACACTGACCACTAATGTAACTAGGGATTTCACACCGAATACCAATGTAACAGGTGTAATTGCACCAACCAGTGTAAGGACATTCTGCACTGACCACCAATGTAATAGTAAAAATTACAGGGACATGTAATGTGGGCATAAACACTGACTACCAAGGTGACTGAGAGGTGCGGGGGG